GAGCAAACTTGACTTACAATATCTGCTCTCACACTAACTAATCCAATCCTGTGAGACCAACCTTAATCCCATGAGACCCTATCCAGTCTTTGTAGACATAACCCAGTCTCTGGAGAAAGACCTTAATCCCTTTGTGAACACAGTGCACCATGATCTAATCATCTCTCAAAAGCCATACATTTTGACACCACTGCACTGAAGAATAGGAGTCAACATGAGCTTTGGGGGGACCAACCACATCCAACCCTAGTACTAGGATACAGATTACCAGAAGTGAAACAACAGACTCTTTTTGAGCAACATCAGAAGAACTAAGGGACTGTAACAAAATCTAGATGATTCCTTTCAGTTAGTGCTAGTGGTTGCAATTCCAAATTATGAATGACCATACTACACTAAAATGAATTGTTCATGGTTCTTGAACTGTTGATGTTTCTAGACCAGTGGGGGAAGTGAAAATATACTCAACCAACATGGAAGTCTGTATAATAATGGCCATCAATGATTGCCTTTGGTTCTGTCATATGCCCTGCAATTTCTCCAGAATTATATTCTAATCTCATGTTACATGTCACTACCTGGATGTCCCACAGGCACCTCAGATAAAATCCATTTCATCTTTCCCATAAAAACTCTGCTTTTCCTGTGTTTCCTCTCCTTGTAAATGACACTGACATCCACAGAGATAACCAAGCAGGAGATCTAGATTCTCTACTGTATGCTTTAAACTCTTACCATTCACACCCAGCCTTTCACCTTTCTTGTACACACTACATTTAAAGTTTTTTAGTAATGCTCAACTCCATAATTTCTCTTAATCTCACTGCCTCCACTTACAAGAGGGCTACCCTTGTTTCTGCCTTATAACCAGCCCTACTTGTTTTCCCTCCCTCTAATCTTATCTCACACTTATTCATTCACCATACTGCAGCTGGTATAATATTTCCAAAGTTCAAATCTAATCCTGTTACTATTTCTGCTTAAGACCTACATTGTCCTCAGGTTAGTGTAGTTGGTGAATATTTGTTTGATTAATTAACTTACCATATTTTATTTTATAAAACTTTCAGAGTAACTTTCATGTACAGATTTTTTTCCAATTAGGCTCATACTATTTAGCAGTTTCATATATTGTTCTTCTTGTCTTACCGTAAATGTAATCTTTCCTATATTATCAAATATAATTGTGAATATGTTCATCATTTGTAACATAATGGTCATCTTTTAGACATGCCATATTTCATATATATTTTATATACATTTTAGACATGTCATATTTTCCATATTTTAACAGATTTTGAGKATTTATTCCAAATTTTATAATATCACAAATTACACTATTGAATATGCTTACTTCTATATTCTGTGCTGCCTTATTATTATTATTATTATTATTATTATTATTACATGATCCTTGGGGGATACTTCTAAAAGTGACATTATTTACACAAAGAATATCGAAACATTTTAAAACTCCTACTGAAGTTTTCAAAAATTGCTTGCTACACGTTTAGATTCTTAACATTTTCCTCTGGTACTAATTTAGTAATGCTGGATCTTTCATGGCTGTGGATTCTCCCTCTAGTTACTGCTTCTCAAATTCCTCCTATTATACTTTATTTTTTACTTGTAAGAATTATATATTCCAATGTCTTTTACTTATTAATTTATATGCTATTATTTTTTAAATTTTAACATTGTTGGTTATTCTCTTGAATTTTAAAGAACTGAGTAGAGCTAAATATTGAACTTTTAGTACTTCCCAAACATAATTAATATTTATGTTAAAGAAGCAAGAACGCCAAGTTTAATTTAAAAGAAAAAAATCACCCTCATTTAAATAAAATATGAAAGAGAGGATGGTTTAAATATATTTACTATGTATTGATACCCAATTAAGTGATTTTGACTTTACATACTAGGCACCTAGGTGACTTGAGAGGCTTCAGTTCATGTTTCATATAAGTTCCATGATGTTATTGAGTGTCCAAGAGTTATTACTGTAACTTGTCTTTGAGTAAATCTTTCCACTGATTTGAGGCAGTTGTCGGACAGAAAACTCCTGAATGACTAAGAAGGAAAGTTCTCCCCATCTACCCATCTATGGAACTAGATTTTATTCCCACAACAGGGTCCATTTTCATCCTTCTGCTTCATTTCTAGAAATAAACCTTCACTGACAAAGCCCACTGATGTAGAAACAGAGACCTACACAATGGGCTTCTCCTGTCTTCCTATTATATTCATCACTTAAACTATTGCCTAGTGTACATGATTATACTGTCACCTTTATGGAGTCAGTCCCACTTTTGTGTCTGACTTCCCAAAGTAAGATTTGCCTTTCTCCTCTGCAAAATTCCAAACTTTGGTATTGGAAGTGTTTGGGTTTGTTGTCCCAATTTACAAAAACTCTAGTTTCATTCCCCTGAATCAACTATGTCGGTAACCCTGATTCCTCTTATTAAAATCATTAAAAGTCTAAATAGCAGGCCTGTAAGAGTAAGGAAAATATCAAACAGGTCGAATATACCTTAGAGGATAAGTATTCATGAAAGTAAAATTAAATGCAAATATAGATGTTAATTGCATAAATGTCTTAATGATATCCATGATACATAAAACATTCATAAATTATTCAATATTTTCAATAATAGAATGATTGAATAATACTATGCTTTACTCTGACTTCCACTGTTTTTCTCATGGCAAGTTTTATCTTAAATATATCCCCTTATTAACAGGTCATATAAGGGAATTACATGGACCCTTATTCATATAATAAATGTCAAAATATTTCATTTTTAATACTGTTCTACATTAATATAACTCATATATTCTATTTTTAGTGTTCTTACTCATTCCCACAAGCAAAATTTTAATTATGCCTCTCATATGTGTGCTTTTAATTAACTGATGGCATATTCTTTGTTCAGTTATTATTGTCCTATACAACTGTCATAAACTTATAAATTTTAATTAACACTGCCCAAACCCAACTTATATAGTGTCCACACAGGAATTTGCCAAAAGGCTTAACCGTAAGTAAACCAACAATGAATAAATCCATAAATTGCCCATTGGGATTTTCTTAACAAATTAACATTTGTGTACACATAATGATGTTCTCTGGTCTGTAATACCAAACAATGTTTTTATAAAACTATATTTTTAAAAGTGAAAAGTGCTTTGTAAATGACTTAATTGGATATCACATTATTAATAATTACTGAATTTTGTAAGACAATATATTACATGGCAATATCTCACATTGAATTCCTATGAGAACTCACTAAACACTGGTAATCTGCAATGCAATTTTCCTGAACATATCATCTATGGAACTCAATATCTAAATATTTGGATACATAGATAAAGTTGATATGTTACAGATTTTAAGAATGCAGCAAGGTCTGGACAAATGATTTGAACATAACGTTAAACGTGCTATGCCTACATGCAATTCAGGATTCATTAATAAGTCAGCAGATCCAGTGTTTTCTAGAGATTCAATCATATGGATTCTTCACAAGTTGAATGGTTAGCCATAGTATGGAACATGAAATGGTTCAGTTGGATTAAATGTTACTAAAGATAATTATAAGTAAATCATCTCACTACAACCCAATGATTTTCATTATCTTAATAAGAAAATTTTGTGACCAATTAAATAATTAAATATCCTAAACAAATCATTTGGCAAGAAATGCTTCTTTCCTAAAGGAAATGATAAGCATATTACTAAAATACAAACTCACACACGTTTGTTGAACTTGTATTCTCATTTGCATTTTTGATAAAGGAACCAGTACTATAATTCCTCCTACAGCAGTAGAATGTATTCTATGTATGAAGAAGCTTCCCTTAAGCAGAATGAAGATAAGTGCTAAAATTCCTAGTGCCTTTCAATCAAACTAAAAATATATTTCTAGAATGCTCTTGAGTACTTAGAATACCTTAATTATTAATTAATCATAAATCAAGAATATTTAAAGACATAACTACCGAACTTTTACTATTAGAATGCAAATCAAAAACAGCTTGGTTTCTCTAAACTCCATTGGAAACTCTTCATGTGACTCTTTCAGATGGCATTATGCTAAATATTTCAAAGAATACCATAAGCAATACAGACAGAAAGAACTCTCACTAAGATATAAATTAACCATGTAGTGAATGTGAAGATCATATAGATTGATTTTCCATTTGACTAACTAAATTTGCATTTATGGTACTAAAATTAAATGTGCATAGATTGCACTTTAATAGTTGCATAATGTCCCTTGCACTGAATATTGGAATTTAAAAATTAGATTTTTATGATGTATTGGGGTTATTTTTTCTCATGGGAACATATTTTGAATTTAATACAAGTCAGTAGGAAAACATATTCAATGTTAACTTGTGTTCCAAAGAGAATATTTTTTATAAAGGGGGTTATTGCATAGATTAATAAATATCTTAATTGATAAGTAAAATATTTATTAATTCACTAACATGTAGTAACATTATATACTACACTTTGAAATACATTAGTTACAAGATGAGAATCAAGATGATCTTAGATGTGTTTGGTATAGTTTATTTTGATTTAAATGAACCTCATTTTCAATAACAATTGAATTTGATTTTCAGGGAAACTGCAACAAAAAATATGGACTTTGAAGTTAAACACGTAAGATTTGGAAAATTAGCACATTAAAGTCATTCTGGGTCATGGTGAAACTATCTAAAAGCACTGACTGTCATGCAATACACATTCAACATAGTAATTTTCATTATTTTAATTAAATTTTGTGACCTGACCATAGAGATACTGAATTTAGAAAAAATGCCACTGTTGAAATACTTATTAATTTTAATTTTTGTTAATTTATTGTTAAAATTTACTAATTTTCTCAAGTCGTCGGGGATTATATTTGCAGTATTAAGTATTCACTATATTTTCATAAGGAAGTAAAAATGCAAATAGTTTGAAAATACAATGGCACTCAAATGCTTACCTAGAACTGATGGTGTACAAGTTCCCCCATTTTGACAGTAGTTGCTACAGTGATTGATTTCACACCTTTCACCGGAATAACTAGGCCAACAATGGCACCTCATATCACCCTTCTCATTTAAAATACACTTCCCTCCATTTTCACAGGCCAATTTGCAGGAATCATCTGGTTGGAAAAAAGATGCAGGTGAGCATTTTGTTCAGGTCACAATTTAGTAAGGACAGTTGAAATAAACAAACTTACTTTAATCCTAGATTCTTATTTTTTTTCCATAAAACAACTAACATAAGTATAAATGTTGGGGAAAATTAAATAATAGCTAAAACAGAGAAATAGATTCTAGTTGTTGGATAGTGAATAAAAACATTAAATTGTTTTTCATTTCAAGCTTCAAGCATTATTAACCAATTATTAAAATTATCTTGTATTAAATAATGAATCTAACTGAAAGTTTATAAAAGTAATATATTTCACTACCAAGGAGTTTTCTTTTGGACTTGAGGAAACATTATCTATTTCATAGTAGTAACTGATAATAAATCAAATTGAAATATTTAGGATATATTTTAGCATTTCTATCCACATACATACAAACACACTACCACATCCTATGGTGTATGTGTTTGTGTATCTGTATATACTTTATATTATAGAAATGTTTAAATGAAAAGATACTCTTTGATGTCAGTCTTCACTAACAATACAAAATATGCCAAACTAGAAGCCCATTCAGATTTGGTGCAAGATGATGATAAGTCAAAAACAATGTTTAGAAATTATGGAACATTTTTTTCCTAAATTGTTGGGAGCTGGCGACCGCACCCTGAAAATGGTGCTGGTTTCCTGCTTCTGCTTCTTTAGCAGTTAGAGTTGTTAGAGGTAAACAACTCCTTGTAAGGCTGTGGGGCTGGGCTCTGGCCTGCTTCCGCTGCGCTGTACCTATTAGACTTTTCCACGTGGTGCTAGTTCATTGGCGGGGCTGGGTACTTAAGCTAGGGCAGACCAACTGCTCTCTCTCTTTTCCTGTTTTCTCATCACGCTTCAAGGGTCCTGAATAAACTGCTGAAAGAAGAATTCTATGTCGTGTTTTCCTTGCTGGCGAGGGGTCGCGACACTAAATATTTGGCATAACCTATCTACTACAAAATAAGATTTTGCCTAAGAATAAGAAATGATCATTTAGGGGTATACAAAAGCATCTTAAACAATATATTAGTATGATTTAAAATAAATATTGATTTATAATCATTTTCCAAGTGACTTTTATGTGTGTGTTGACCTGCCTGTCCTTCATTAGAAATATACTGTATTACTTTGAGCAGGATACAATATTCAATGAAACAAAACTGAAAATATGTTAACAAGCATTCTGTTTTAGAATATGCCCTTTGCTAAAGCTGTGTCTTTTACATGGTAAAATTACATGAAATCAATAAAGCCTTTATTTATCACTCAAAGTACATTGGGCCATGCATGACATAGGCTTGACTATACCACTGTAATGATCACAAGAACATCTGGATCGACTTCAATGACTTATTTTCTATATGTGTAAGTTTCACATTGATATTCCAAAATTTTGCATTTATAAGAAGGACTTACTCATAAGGCAATGTATATAATATAAAGAAAATAAGAAAAGTGTAATAAAACCTGTCTTTATGGCCTCATTTGGTCACTTTATTAAACATACAAGTTAACCTACCTAAGATTCATTTACATACATACTATAAAAGGAACTTAGTGACAAAAATACAACTTAACTCAGATTTTCTGTAAATATTAAGTTGGGAAAATGTTAAAATGCCAAAAGTTTGTAAATACTAAGTACCTAAGTATATACCACATACATATAAACACAAAAGACAATTTGACTTCCAGCTCACATCTAGTAGAAAGATGAAAAGCTTAAAGTTGGGTCTAGAGGGTGTATTGYTAAACTTCAACAAGCACTTATTTGGCAAAATAAACATGAGACATTTGTCTGAATTGTTTCCTGAGTGCCCACCAGGAATGCTGAGTACAGTGTTCAAGGAAAGTAACATCTATGCATGTCAGAAGGTGAGCACCTGAGGAACTGAATGATACTTTCTGTGCCTGGACCTGGATTGAAGAATGTGAGGAAAGAAATTAGAAGAGGTAAGTGTCCTTAAAGAGATAAGCAGGAATAACAGAAGGTCATTGGATGTTTTATTGTGTTTTTTTTTTTTTCATAAAAGTAATGTAGAAAACTTGAAGAATCTAAGAAGGCTGAGAGTGAAGGTAGTGGCAGGTGTTAAACTGAAGGCAGGGAGATCATGAGGACTTCATTTAAATCCTCTGAATAGGTCACACGATGCCCCAAAATAGAATAATGTGGAGTGAGTAAATGTGGGACTATTCTAACAATAATTCTGAAATGAGCATCGCGTCCCTAATTTCTGAAGAAAATAAGGGAAAATTAGGATGATTCTTCAATTTCTGGTCAGGACAAYAAAATGGGAACATGAGGATAATAGGAAATAGAGAGGTGAGTTTTTTTTTGTTGCAGGGGAGGTACCAAGGATTGAACTCAGGGATACTTGGCCACTGAGCTACATCTTCAGCCCCGTTTTTTATTTTWTTTAGAGACAAGGTCTCACTGAGTTGCTTAGTGCCTTGCTTTTGCTGAGGTGGGCTGTGAACTCTTGATCTTCTTGCTTCAGCCTTCCAAGCCTCTGGGATTACAGGCCTGKGCCACTGTGCCAGGCAAGTTAGTTTTTAACATAAAAAAAAATCTTAGATGCCTATGTAAATGCATGTGGCAATCTCCAGAAAATAATTGAATATAGGATGAGATTTTTTAAAAAACAATTTTTAAAATGACAATATGTTTGCTTAATTCAGGTGGGTCAATTGAGACCAAGATTTTGAGACCAGCTTAAGCAACATAGTGAGATAAGTCCCTCAACTCCAATTTTTWWWWAAAAAAATACTAATACTAATATAACAGTTCTGAAATCTACATATTTACATTCCTGATTGAAGTACTTCAGACCAGTATGAAGGCTTAAATGCATGGAGATCAAATTGAATATTACTTAACATTCATTAGATTTAAGATTTTCTTTTCAATCATMAGAATGAGGTTTGAGGAAGTTTCTGGAGTCACACCTTTCAAGTAGAGGTGAAGTAAACATTTCCAAAACTGTTTTAGACTTGCATAAGTGTGTATTTAAACAAGCTTCCTTGTTTCATGCATAAAATAAACAWGTCTAGGAATGTTTATCTTCTCCTCAGCCCCTTTCTATCTCTCTGTTTTGTGGCTTCCAGGACTGAGCCAAATTCCTCTGGTACATTCCTCTGTTATGATGTTCTGTCACATTTCAGGACCAAAGTAATGAAGCCACTCAATCATGAACTCAACCCCCTGAAACCATCAACTAAAATAAACCTTTTCTCCTCTAAGTTATTCTTGTCAGGTGTTTTTGTCACAGATGAGAAAAAATTATTAATAAAACTCTCAATGCTTTAATTTTCTTATATARTAAAATATGAGAAATCACAATATATTATCATTGGGTTTTATGCAAATTAAGGGAAATTTTATGTATTATATATAATATATATAACATGTAATACATATTGTRTATGTAAATATGTGTATATGTATATGTTTTGTGACATAAAATTTAGTAGGTATAGATTTTATTTTCTCTTAAAAACATTTTCACATTAGGACTAATGTCTTCAATGTGAGAGAGCTTATTATCAGTCTACCTGCATATTTAAGAAACAATGCTTCCTTTGCTTTTAYATCACACAATTTTGTTTCTTATTTTGGTACTTGGAATGAGCCTATGGGCACTTTACTACTGAGCTACATCCCTGGCTCTTCTAATACTTTATTTTGAGACAAGGTCTTCCTCTTTTGCTGAGGCTGGCCTCAAACTTGTGATTCTCCTGCCTCTGACTCCCAGTTGTTGGCATTACAGTTTGGTACCACCATGCCAAGCCTAGTTTGTTCTTTCTATTATTTTTTTCCTATTTAACACTTTGTATTTATAATGATATTTCAAATTTTCATTGTTTTTTCAGCTAACAAAAAGAAAGATGGAACAAAACTTCAAATTATTAAAATCCAAGATGGAGAAGGAAATATTACCACAGGTACTACTGAAATCCAGAGGATCATCAGAAACTATTTTGAAAATRTATACTCCAATAAGTTAGAAAATCTTGAAAATATGGAAAAATTCTTAAAGACATCTGACCTATCCAAATTGAACCAGGACGATATAGAAAACTTAAACAGATTAATTTCAAGTAATGAAATTGAAGCAGCCATCAAAAGCCTTCCAGCAAATTAAAGCCCAGCTCTGCCTGGATTCATAGCCAAGTTCTATCAAGACCTTTAAAGAAGAACTAATACCAATCCCCCTCAAATTATTCCATGAAATAGAAAAGAAGGGAATTCTGCCAAACTCAATTTTTTTACTGTTTATTCTAAACTTTGGCTTCTCAAACTTAAACTGCATGAGGAGTTTTCTCAGATTTATTTCTAAATTGGTTCTTAGTCTCTAAACCAATGTTTTACCTTGATCAGAARCCCTCCACACATTTGTAAATCAGAGAAGTAATAGTATTTGTTGTAAATCTGATTTTATATGAAAGAAACTGAGATTCAGTTTATAACTTAATCTCTGCTTTCAAAATTATCATTTGCCCATAGGAATGTATTAAAATAAATTTAATGAACAAATAATCAGATTTGGGGTTTGGGTTTAAACCCACAGCAGAAGGGCATCTCCAAAAAAATTATCTTCTATAATACATAAGCTATATAAAAATGTCTTTGATTGTGAAACTTCATAGTTCCTGATTTAGTCAGTGCATGTCAAGTGCTCAATGTTTGTGAGCAAATGCAGAATGAATTAATAGGAAGTCTTTGTCAGAAAGAACAGTTTACACAGACATTCAAGAATCATTGATATCCTGGCAGCTAAATTGATAAAAGAACAGGAAATTATGCTCAGTAATAACTGTAAAAATTTATCACAAGGATTAATTCATTATTTACTAAAAAATGGAGAATACCTACCTAACAGACTGTCATCATTGCAGGTTCCATTAATCAAATATTTTCCTTCTGGGCAAAAACAGGTGGCCCCAGAAGGATTCAGCAAACAGAGGAATTCACATCCTAAATCCAAGCAAGGATTAGGTACTAATGAAAACAAAACAAAAAAAGCAAAGAAATATATAAGTATACTTGCAATAGGTTTCAAACACATAAAATTCAATAAGGCAAAATGATAAATTTGCAATATTAAAAAGAAATTAAATCAATTTTTACKGCATGTATTTCATTTTGATGTTATATTTTTTCTTTTATAGAGGAAGAGAAATTACTACCTTTCATTAACAGTACRATTGCCCAAATCATTCTTTCCAAAAGGAATAAGAATCTATTCAAATCTATACTTTGTCATTCTTTCTTGTGACTAATTGTTTTTTGGCATAAGAGTTCCTCTTAGAACCTGAAGTGCAGTCTAGGGCTGTGTTTTAAAAGTAAAGCCACTTGAAGTTGAAAATGTATTTGAAACATATTTTTCAGGAYAATTACCTCAGTGATTTATTTTCCTACTCCCTTCTATAAGGGAAAGCTATAATAATAATAATAAATCATAAACTATAAATCAAATAAAATTACAACTGTTGGAAAGAGTTCTTGCTATTTTTTAGACTGGAATGTTAATGCTATGGTAATTACTTGGTTATCAGTAACAAGGGTCAAAGTGGCTAATGAACTATGAATTCCTTAGATTGCATGGTTCATCTAGAGAAGCCTAAGGTCTTCTTCAGTATCTTAGAAAAAAATAATAGATAACTTTTATAACAAAATTAATTTTAATTCCAAAATACTCAGCCAAATGCTGAACATTTTCATACCTGTTAAACTAGAAATGGAAACTTAGGTATTATCTGTATATTGGCTTCCCTAATTTAAAAAGTCTGGTGTTACTAACATTAAACTTACTCAATCTACTGGGGTTAAAACTTGAAATAGTTAAGGAATACACACACACACACACACACACACACACACACACATACATATGTGAAAGATTAAATTCAGGTATGCTGTACCACTGAGCTACCTCCCCAGACCTTTTCATATAGTTGCTGAGGCTGTCATCGAACTTATTATCCTCCTAGCTCAGCCTCTCAAGTCTCTGGGATTAAAGAGATTTACAAGCATGAGACACTATGCCTCGCAAAAGTGTACACTTTTAATAGATAAAAAGAAAACAATCACAAATGTAGGCAACTTTTAAAAAATATTGTACTTACAGTCTAGTTGTTTATAGCGATGAGATATCAAAACACCTTTTGTTTTATCAACATCTAAAGCCAGATACTCTACTGAACCATGTCCAAATTTTTGTACTCGAAATACACCATTTTTTGGTCCTGCTCCATATATATAATCCTCAAAGATATCAATCCTATGTGGATGTAACAATCCTGGAATTTTTAAAAGATAGGATTATAAAAGCTGTAATACATAAATTGAAGTTAAAAAAAAAGTTTACCCAAGACACCATAGAAAATCTTATTTATGGTCTTTAAGAAAATTTTTCAGAATTGGAATATTTTAATATTAGCTTAGAAGTTGATGGAATTAATTTCTTGGAAGTGGAGATATAATAAATACTAAGCATGTCACTCAGAATTTAGAAAAAACATTTCAATCATTAATTTAATCATATTCGACATCACCAAGCATTTGCTAAARGTCATTATATGCAGAGTAATTTTTTTCTTCTATACAGTTAACAAATAAAAATCTAGGTACAGGCTGACCTCATTTGTAGCACCAAAACAGACAGTTCATTAAACTCTAAATTCGTATTCTGGATCCAATTAGTAATTAAATAGAATGGTGGAATGACTGGTAATCATGAGTTAAAAATCTTTGACACTATTATAAAGTGTTTTAGAAACAGGATAAGGAAAACAAACTAGCAAACTGCCATCATTCACATGACATCGTTGCTTAAAAATAATAGTGACCATCAATTTTCACATTTGGTGACTGTAATTTTAAGACATTTTATCAAAACAACTATCAATCCAACTTTTGGTAAATGAAATTTGTAACAAGTAGAAACATTTATATGTTATGATCTAGAGGTTATAAAACAAAAAGTAACATTTAATTTTATATATTTTCTTCTTCGGTGTTCCTTGAGAAAATAAAATGTACATTTAAGCTGAAACAAGCTAACATTATTTTAATATAGTACAGAAATGTAAACTTTCTCCATCTGGTTAATTGATACAAAAATCATGGAGACTTTTCCCATCTGGGTCATTGCATACAAAAATCATACCSTTTAGGGAGATGCACAGTGAAAATTTGATACAATTATTTTTTCCAGCTTCCCTATTTAAAAATAAACAAATAAAAGGAAGTTATCCTTTATTTAAGAAATGCAATATGCCAAAATAAAGACTGAAAATTTGTGTTATAAATAACTTGAGGTAAATATGTGAAGGGGTTGCAGGGGAGGGAAGGAAAAAAAGTCACAGGGAAGAAATTAGACTCAGTAGAGACATCTGATACAGTCAGACCAGGAAAGTTTGAGAGACGGCAGGGAGCTACAAAATGAGAGAGTAAAAATATGAGACAGGAAGAAGCAAAAATAAGAATGGGTGCAGTACCCAAAGGCCACAGTTAGAATTCTGTGGTCACCAGCAGTAGAGGAAATTGTCATTTTCTATATGCTGTTTTTCACATGGATAATGGGGTCCTTCAGTACCAGTGATGGTTACTATGAAGTTCTATTACATATAATAATTTGTTTCTTGCATGCTGTTACAGAAATTTGAAAGACAAAGTAGGGTCCACATGTTCTACTCTTGACTATTTGATGTATCCTGCTCAAAATGGAACACCACAGAATCCATAGAAGGAAATTACTTTTTGAATCTGGCAGCCTGGCCCATGTTTTTCCAAGTCAAGAATGTCCTCTGYCCTGGTCTCTCTGATATTCTAGTACGAATGAACATTTTAATCAATAAAAGAAATGCAAAGAAAAAGGAGACATAATTTAAGAAAAATCATAATGCAAAGCTTTCATAATTATATCGATGTTATGATTTAATACTCTCAATAACAAAAATAAAACCAAAAGCCTCTCACAAACCTTGTTTACTGCTGACACAGATCACTGAATCAGAGCCATCGTACAGAACACTACCAATTACGGAGAGCTCAAAGTCAGCCCAGTATATGCGTTCACTAAAATGATCCACGGCCAGACCTGCAAACATAGACAAATAATGGAATTTGAGATCATTTAAAAGTATGATTTCACTTCTTCATGTAGTTGTTTTCAAGCATCACAGAAATAACCTGTTGTTCATCATGGTACTGTAGAATTCAGAATAATTGAAAACCTTATCTCAAATCAATCCTTATCTTAGATTACTTAGCCTTTATTTAATAAGCTGCAAGTAAAAAATCTTACCTAACACAGGAAGAGAGACCTTACATATCAGTYCTTTTCATACTTTCTACCTTCTTAATTTTGGCTATTCCCTACCAGTTTTCTATATTTTTATGCTTATACTATACATAGAATGAATACATTATTTAATCTGTTATCCAACATTTTTTAGAGGTAATTGGGGGTAATTCTTACATTTTAAATCTTTTCATGAAGATACAGTTCTCATAATATAAAAGGTGTACTTAATGACAAGTTGGCCAATGATGTGTAATTGTAAGTCACCTATACGTGTGCTGATGTTTAAAGTGACTAAAGATTGATATTTATAGTAGAAAGAAACGAATGGTAAAGTCCCTCATTAAGGTCCTATAGTGCTTGAATTTCTAACTTTTTCTCTGAGACTGCTTTTCTTCAATTTCATCATAGGTATCTGTCAGTGAATAACAATCGATAAAAATGATATAGGGCAAAACAATAATGTTCTTCTGCTTATCTAATTTTTACCKTTTGACTTTGTAAATCTGATTGGAATCTATCCCAGCAAAAATATCATCAACACAAAGAGTATTCTAGAGAGTAAAGTTTCTTCAATTTAGRAGAGTAAGATCTATGACATATGAATTCTATAATAAATCCTCAYTGCTGTAGATATCTATTTTCTGTGATTTATCTAATCTTTAGATGTCACATGGAACATACTTTGAAGATGCAATGCAATTAAAATACATTTTGCAGATAAATGTTACAGAATTTTCACAATTTCAACATTCAATAAACAGCCAAAATCAAGACCATGGAATGAAAGGTATTTTAAGTTTATGTAAAACTTGTATTTCTATGAAGATAAATGGAGACTTAACAATCAAAATGGAACATAAATTATGGTGAAAGTAATTTGTGAATAACTTTTAAGTTAAACATGTAGATCTAACTGAAATATAATCAAACTAAATATAAATATTGCTCTTCAAGTAAATACATATGTATATATGTATTATCATGTCTAACTAGCTTTTGAGAAATGATTTAACAATTAATTAATGCAACTGGTTCATAATTTACTAKTTTCTGCTCAATGATTAATTGTCTTGTTTGAGTCATGTTTAGAGYTATGTTTTTGCTACTTCCTGTAAAATCATGAGTAACATGAACCATAAAGTGTTCCAATTTCCTGCTGGTGCTATTATAGTTCAAAGTAGTCACCTAAGAAAGGTTGAAAACACTTTTCCTTCTTTTCTAAGGAGGTAATACAATATGCACATAAAACAAAACCCTCTGTCCAAAAAAACTGGCTTTACACCTAAACTATTAAATTTGCTAATCATGGAAAAGAAGAAAACAATGTGTGTGTGATCCAATTTAATTAACAATATGAYTTCTGAAATTTACTAAAAGTGCCATATATTGCATTGCTGCTCTATGCTTGTTCAAGATATCCTCAATTTTATCAGCTTTTGTCACATGTGCTTTTGGATGGAATTACATCTAGATAGAAATTATACAACAAAGTTTTTAGATGAATRGGGTTTATATTACAAAAATCCACAAATCAATGATTTTTGATTTTTCCTTAAGCCCTTTAATAAAAGAGATAGTCTTTAAATTAAAAAGTTAATAAAGGAATCAGCTAACTTTTCCTGTGGTATCAATGAATGTCAAGTTTATAGGAAAGAACAATCTCATGACTTTCTTTAAAGTATCCCAACTTCTTTTGTCTTTAATAAAGAACCAATGATACAATGAAAAATAAAAACAAAACAAGAAAAGAAATTCTCAAGAAACTTTCTTATCAGAACTGTAAATGACAAATATATGGAATTGAATTAGCAGAAGTACAGAAAATTTAAAATACTATAATGATTTTAATTCAGTACACAAATCATAAATTAAAAGGTTTATAAAAGACAAAGATGAAAGCTAGATTTCAGTGATATAGGGTAACAGCACTAATTAAGTAGTGATTCTCTCAATACCATCTCCCTCCATAATGCCAAGACTACTACCATGCTTTAAGAACTTGTTGAACCTTGCTTTTGTTGGACTCTGAAATTTAAAAAAATCTAATAGTTTCCATATTTCCATTATAGTCTAAAAAGAAAAAAAATTTAAAAAATATTATGAGAAATGGTCATAATACCAATATGATATTTGAGAGAAGACTTAGAATAATACATTTCAACCACTGCATCYTCAGAAATAGATGAAAGGATAAGATACATTCTGTTTTAAGGCAATGCAAGGATTTATATAGTAGAAAAAGTCATCAAGTAATCCCTAACATACTCTCAATTTAAAAGGTATTGAGAAAAGCTAAAATAACTGAATATATTTACCACTGTTAAATTTATTTTTTTAAAAATTGTTAAAATTAATTTTCAGATTGGTTGTCTGCTTAGAATCAAAGACTACAAACTATATTAAAATCCACCCCTCTCTCTTGTACACACAAACATATGACAGCTTTATTAAAATAAATGCATCAAGGAAATGGTAAAACAGTCATAAATTTGTATCCACTTTATTTAGAGATCTTTGTGGCCAAGGAAAATGAATCTGTTTACTGAATCAAATAAGTATGAGTGTTGTCKGATAAATATATAGTCCTTCATTCTYTCTGAAATTGCCACAATTTGGAAGAGATAGCAAACAACAGCAACAAGCCTCTAGCTTTCAAAGGATGTGTTATTTAAATCAATCTCATGGAATCCTAAACGCTCCTATTAAAAGCTAAACTGGAAAGTGACTTTATCTGACACACACTGGTGAGGCAAGTACTTGCTACTCAACTAACATAAGAGACTGAAAATACATAGAATACATAGTCATGAATACATAGTCATGAATGTATTTCCATTCAAAGACACCTTCTAGGATATATTTGTACATGTCTTCCCATACATGAAATGTAAATATGCATGTAAAYGCAGAATAATGATTTAGTTGTTGCCAATATTTTGTTACTACTTTTTAGTAATACCATTTAAGAAAATAAAATGAACTATTATTTCTTAAAAATCTCCTGAMAATTGTTTAAACTCATTTGTATATCAATAACAGTTGGCAAAACAAATACCCAGGAGTCATTAAACACTATGAAGATGACATCAAGATATGTTTCTGCTCAATGTAATAAAATCCTACTCAAGAATTCGACATCATCATTTGTAATGTTAATAAAACAATTCATAGTTATTTTCTGTGCTATTTCAATGTATACAATACATAATTGTCCATTATATTCACTGTGCTGTGTCAGAAAATATCAGTCCTTATTCCTCCTGTTCAATGGCACAGTGCCCATTGACAGGACTCAGTTGCCCACCTCTGCTCTCCCCAGTGCCTAGTAAGCACTATTCATTCTCAATTTCTATGAGATTAACTACTTCAGATTTTACTTATAGGTAAGATCATATGGCACACTCTATCTTAGACATAGGTGCAAATATGTCATTTGAAGAAGCTGAAGAAAATTTTAAGCACGTGGCAATGAAGTTAAGTAACAGATTTTACATGTGATTTGTCAATTTATTTTTACATTAGGAATTATAATAAACATACAATGAGAAAACAAATAAAACTTAACAAAATATACTAAATGGATATGGATAAATTATCATTGCTATTAGGAAATTATGGTAGACTCTATATGGAATTCAAGGCTTTACCCTAGGAAAAAGTACATCATTTTATAATTATTATTAGCTCTAACACAGTGAAGAAAATTCATACTGGTTTTACTAACTGATTTAAATGAATYGTTACACATTATATGTAAGTTAATGATCATATTTCAAAAATAAGAAGATTGATGAGGGGCTGGGGTTATGGCTCAGTGGTAGAGCTCTCACCTAGCTCATGTGAGGCACTGGATTCAATCCTCAGCACCACATTAAAAAAATGAAATATAGATATTGTGTCTAACTACAACTAATATATATATACATATAAAATTTAAAAAGAAGATTGATGATAAAAAGTTCATTTAGCTTGTTCAATTTTAACATATCTATGTAAATGGAAAGGTTATATTTTTCTACTATTCTTTTTCTATGTGAGGCAGTGTTTTGCTCAATAATGTATACCATCTTCTTTTTGAAACCCTTCTTTGGCTATGGTGATGCCACATTCTAACCTAATAGTATTTGGAGGCCTTTAGTGTCTTCACTTGTCATCTTTCTTCTTTTCAATATAAGCATCTCTCTAAAATTCTACCCTTGAGATCTTATTGACCCATCCATTGTTCATCTTAACAATGCAAGTATTATTGAATATCCGCTTTTGTTGCTAGTTTCTCAAACCAAATTCCTAGTTCTATTTTGAGTTCCAAAACTAATGTTTTTAATGACCTGTAAAATATCTCCATCTGATTGATTTAACTTGGGTCCTGGCACAYCTACAACATTTTCTATGGCTGAGTGACAATGTTGCACATCTGTGCTCAAATCCCACCTTCTATGAAAGCCTACCTTGATGCCTAATTATGTTATACTGCAACCTTTCTCTCTACCATTGCCAACTCTTCTGGCAATTTCACTCTTTTTATCATAGCATTAAACACCTAAAACTGACTTTGGAATTTATTTGTAAATATTAAATTTCTACTGTCCCCATYCCATCCCTCTACTATGGCTATGTTTTTACTTCTCGTATTTCAAGAATCATGCCTGAAGTATATAAGGTGCTCAATACATATTAGTTGAATAGGTTGATATACATATTCTGAGAGTTGATACCTGTAGCAAGATAGAAGTTTTCAAGCAAATTTTTTTGATCAGAAAACACATATATTCACAATATTCATGGGGTAGACAGCCTCACTCTAACTATCTTCCAGATGTATCTGTTGCTCTTATGGATATCTGACCAGATTTGGTTTCCTGCTTAACATGAATCAATAGTACTTGCAGGGGACATTAGGACCTTATAACTGCTGACCCCTAATCACCTTTCAAAGTATCAAGTTCTATTTCATGTCATTTGTTTACTATGCTCTTTGGCTTTCCTCAATTCCATTTTCTACCATTTTGACCTATTTACTTTTCATTCCAACATTTCTCTCCACCCTACTCCTTGTCAAGGATTAGCACTTACTCTTACTCAACTCCCTGAAAAACCTTCCTTCCCTCTATATTTGAGTGACACCTATGTGCTTCGAAATTCACTCTATTCTTCTCCATAGTGCCATTTACACAGGTGTTTGTGTGTGCACACAGATATATGCAGGGTTTTATTTTGTTTTTATAGTCCACTACTTTAGACCAAAAGCTACATGAATCCAAGCATCTGCATTTCTAATAAATAATAGTGCTTGACATATAGTAAACATTCATCTTTTTACTAAAAGTAGGATAAACGAATTAAGGCAATAAGATATTTGATTCAATTCATTTATGTACTCTTTATCCCTCTTGGATCCACTTCCCATCTCCTTTTCTATCCTTATCTGTATTTGATAAATTCAAGTAGACTCTCTCTGCTTTGTCTCATATATATTATCCCCTTTCTATCTGCTTRTAACTTTCCAAGTCATGTTATTTTTTTTTTCCTTGTCAAGGGAATTCAATGACAATTACCTGCTCTCTTGGTCTGTGTTCTATTCAATACCTTTCACAAATGCTGCCAAAGAAATAAGATTGAAGACCTGCCTTATTCAAATCACTAATTGAATAAAAACTGTACAATAATTCATTATTGGCTAAAAAAATCTTGTGTACTTGTGTTGGAATTTAAGACTATGTTTACAGCTCATGTTATATTACAGAACCTGTCAACTTCTAGATGCACTATGACTCATCAACAAAACATATTATGCATGCAACACTGGAGCCCTGATATTACAGAACTATCTCATTTAGTTTACACAGGATTATTTCCAGGTATTCATTATTACTTCTTGGTTTGCTAATGATGATAGTACCTATATTTTAAGATAATAATTTCATTATGAGATCTCATAGCTAATAAGTAAATCTCTTTGGATCCAAAGCCAATTGTATCTAACTCCTTTAATAATAAAGAACAGGTTTCCTTTATTCAAATGCCCCCACTATGAATTAGAGTCTCTGTACTCTAAGGATATATTTAGACATAAAATAATCTTACATTTTGCAAATTCAACACATATCTGGGTATGCCTCATTCTTTTTCATTCTCAATTAATTTCCTGAAAATAGTGGTGCCATCAGTTTCATCATTACGTTGCTTGAAATGTTGAGCAGCGTTCCAACTCATGGAAGAATGTTTCATGCATGCATCTTTCCTGAGATCCACTGTGGGAGYTCATGTGTTGCCTGCCCAGATCTTCTTTCAAAGACATCCCCCACTTRTTGATCCAGCAGCAGAGACTCACAATTGACCACCCCCCCCCGAAAATTATGCTCAACTTATTAGAGCAGACTTGCTTAGTAAGTTAAAGCCCAAAGCCAATCCATAACAGATGGCACGTGAAAATCTACCACCCTTGCCTGACACGGGGTTTATGCTCCAGATCACATCCCTAGAGTCCCAAACCAAGAGTGGACTTTACTTGGAACCCAGTTTTACTGGGCTCTTTCCCTTTCTCTCTCTTCCTTTTCCTGGTTTCTTCTGAAAAATACATAAATTCGTCATACATAAATTCATTGCAGCCTCCCTCCAAGGAATGCACCTACAGGAAATTCCACAAACTGCTATCAAAGTCATTCTTTGAAATGAAAACATGTTACTTATACTGTGATTATGTAAAATTTTAGCATGAGGAATTTTTTATAGGTTGCTTTCACTAATTTTGCCACTTTCCTGTAACTTTAAATTTGACTTTTTTTTTCAAATGCTAACAAAAAGTGCCTCGTGCTTAAAAAATTAAAATTGTGTGTATGCAGATCACACCCCTTAACTCCTCAGCACTCAAGGGGCTCTCCATAAAGGTGGCATAAAACCTAGTCTTCAACAGCATATTGAAGTCACCACCTTCCCTCCTTCGTGTCCACCACTCTCCTGAATGGCTGGCATGTCTCTAGGTATACTAACCCTGCTGTTTTTGACATATTTGAAGCTCACTATCTTACTGTTCTTTCTGTATGGAAAGCTCTTTTTTCACAATCACACCTCTAACTACCTCTTTGTTATTTAGGTCATTCCTTAAATATAACCTTTCTAGAGATGACTTCTCTGATAATTGTAACTAAACTATCATCCCTCATTACTCTCCCTTCCTTACTATGATTTTTTTCTCTACAGAGCACTTATGATTTCAACTGACATTATATAATGTATCCTCTACAGGAAGATAATTTTTGTGAGATTGGGACTTGCTTCACATTTGTAGATATTTGTTTTTTCAGTATTTGGAACCATTTCTGGCACACTGTAGGTGTTCCATCGATATTTGTAAAATGCTTAAATGAAGACACACTTATATGAATATGTTAGATCTCAAATACTTCTCTCTCTAAAGAGTTACAAACAATCTAATTGAATAACAGGGCGTAAGTCACATTAAAATTTAGCAAGAATGTAAGTTGCCAAATGCAAGTAAATCTTAAACTACAAAGTGTAATGATTTGATAACAAAGCACACAGACAGATAATTCTTTTGTTCTTTTAGTGGGAGTGTAGTAGGTAGGTTGGGTGGCAGAGAATCCTTGAAGAGCCTGAAGCCTGGAAATGTTTTATTATTATAGAAGTACTAAAGTTAAAACTTATGAGACAGAAAAGATTCAGCTAGGGAGAGAAATTCTAGATGGGTATTCCAGATTGGGAAGCTGGGAAGGAAGTAGCATGGGAGAAAGAACATGCAGGAGGAATGAAGACCTGAGATCCTGAACAGTTCCAAGTGTTCCAAAAATTTGGAGTCATAGCTTAAATGCCATCTCTGGGATGGATTTCTAGGTCAGATTGACAAGAGCCCTAAATAAAAAGGCAAGGAATCATAAAACCTGTCTTTCACAGAAATTATTTATATCATGCTACTTTGTCCATTTCTTCTCTCATCCTCTAGTAATATTATCATCTACCCCCAGAAYATTAACATAGATCTGTAAAAATACCCAAATACATTGCCATAACCTGTCAAATTTTTATGCATGTGCAATTCTACTAATAGCTTTACAACTCAGGTGATTTTCAAATAACACTCCTGTAATAATAATGACAGTATGATAATGACCTGACTTTCAAGTCAAGAAAATAGAATAAGAAACGTTAATAATGTTCACTAAATCATACTGTGTGTATGTGTGTGTGTGTGTGTGTGTGTGTGTATTTTTTTCACTGTAAAAATGATTATATTGCCAACAAAACTAGAAAGAATTGTTAACAGTAATATATTTAGCATTCTGCTTAACATTTCAACATATGTCAGAAACATTAAATACCTGTGGGCCTCTGTAAGTTCTTTTGTATTAAAATCCTTCTCAGAGTACCATCCATGGCTGCTTCTTCTATGTGGGAGTGGTCCCCAATGACAGTCCAGTACATCATCCTGAAGAGAGCAGGTCACATAAGTTAGTTTAGTGAGGCTGCTGTTATAACCCATCTCTGCTCCAAAAGCACTGCCTCCTCAGACCACATGTGTGGTCACCTCCAGATTCCCTTAATAAGCATATTTCTGAACCAACCTGTAATCTACAAAATGGAAACCTCCAATAGAAAAGCATAAATCAACAATTTAAATAAAGTCCTACCTAAACTCACTACATTTTAAAAAACATTCTTAATAGTAAACATCATAGCACATTATTTAATATCCAAAGTTCAATTTTGAAAATTCCATGAAAACCACAGAACAAAACAATTTCCATCACTGTAATTATGCCTCTAGTTGTRACCCAATATTCATTTTATTATGAATGATGTACCAATATGCAACTTTTATTTTAATAGTGATGTCACTATTTCATCAAACAGAAATCATTCTCTTGCTTAGAAGACATCACACTGTGCAATTCTGATAGTTGAAATTGTCTCTTTTTACTTAGCATGTAGTAATTTTGTGGATGTTTTGGAGTATCATTTGACATTTTCCTGTTCTTTTTTTTCCCATTATTTGTAGGTTTCCTTCTTCAAGTAATAAAAAGAAAATGTTTGTATCAAGTAATTTGTGTGTGTGTATATATATATATATATATATATATATATATATATTTCATCATTTATTATCAAAAATAGCCAACAGCATTAATATAATACTCTACATTTAATGTGTTTGATATTTAGAAAGTTCATTTGGAGAATAACAGTAGTAGTATATGTGATCATAACACAAGTATCATTATTTTATAAGTCACATATACAAGTGAAGATATTCACAGAAACATACAAATACTATTGTGTATACAATGTATGAGACTGAAACATTTCAGGAAAAATATATCACCATTTGGTGTAAAAAAGTTATGTTTTTGTATAGAAAGAGAAGTTTGGGAATTTTTAGAAGTCTTGTGAATCTGTTACATGTTGAATACTTATTAACAGAAAGAGAGCACAATCTCTGAAACTGGATTACTCATGTCAATAATATAACTACCAAACCATTAACTTACCCTCTTTTAGGATTTACAGCAATAGCATACGGTTCTCCAGCCATATTTGTTAGGAGCCTGGTGCARTTGGGGCCATTCAGCTGCCCTACGTTGACAGAGTACCTCAGACTGGTCCAGTGAGTAGTGTAATAACTGAACCAGTGCATTCTGGAGTGATCAGTCCAGTAAATATTCCCAGCAACCCAGTCAACTGCAATGTCCCTGGGTCTTTTAAATTCAGGACACTAAAAGAAAAACAAAACAGAACACTTTTTTAAAACAGAAACTTGTATAGTTTTCTGTATCTATACATTTATATTATGGGGGAATTATATGGATTTAGGTGTCAACTGTCACATAGGCTTCAAAAATAATTACACTCTTAATCATTATAGATGTATATCTGCACAAATCACTGGAGTTCTCATGTTTATATGTGTTTAGCCACTTCCCTGCAAGAATATTTACAGAACTACAAGAGCTTCACTTGTGATCTGTCCCAGTCAATATACATCTGCCAGCAACCATAATTCTAATATCAAACACCATTGATTATTTTAAATACATCAACATAGTAGAATTATATTCTTCTGACATCCTGTTTTCAACATGTCTGTAAAATTCATCCATATTGTAAAAGTGTCAGTTTTTTCGCATTTTATTGCTTGGCAGAATTTCATTTTGTGGAAAAATGTTTTTACCATTTGATTCATAATGTCCACTTGCCTTGTTTAAAGTTTTGAGCCATCACAACTAAAGTAGCTAATGTTTTGGGGTGAACACATTTATTTTGAATATTTGCCAAGGAATAGATGTGTTGAGTCTTAAGACATATATTACTAGAAAAACTTAAAAAAACATTTGCAACTATGCACCCTCTTTTCAGCAATGTAAGAAACTACCAATTGCTTTGCATCCTTGTTATGCACAATTTGATTTAAAAGTTCAAAAAAAAATCAACGAATAAAGGTTCAGTTTGAGAGCTACTATTATTCAACATATTTTGAGGAAAGTCGCAATATCTCTCTGATAGCTTGGCTTTTCTGCTCAATATTCTGCTTTAGTGAATTAGTGTGAGACAAAGGTAAAGAGTTCATTAGGAACAGATAGCAAGGAAAAGAACGTATGTTCTGTGCCCTTCAATTAACTTGATCACTTTCAGCAGGAACCAGTGTAGTAATTAATTTGACATGGTCAGGTTTATTGTGCATAACCAAAACTGAAAAGAGAATCTCAGGGGTATTATATCAAGACTAGAAACAATTATTTGAAGGTGATTACTTCTTAGACATGTAGTCAATGTGGAAGAACATCAAGAGGACCTAGAAACTAGTGGAAATATGTTTTAACACAAGGTAGTTTCTTGCCTGGGTTGGTAATGAACAGAATTTATTTAGCAGTCCATTTGGATTAAAAGAAAAGAAAGTTAATAACTCAAAAAGAACCTGAAATGTGGGAAAAAAAGAAAAGAATTACAAGTCACTGTCTGCTACATGTTACTGTATCACAAAGGAAAATATTACTTAAACATGAAGCAAAAAAAAAAACAGATCTAATGATTTTCATTATCAATTCTTTGTCCTATTTCACTTGAGACCTTAGATTATGAAATTTTATAGCATTCAGCTTCTCAATACTGAGAAGAAACAGTATACTTATACCCAGTATATATCTCAAACTTAGCTGAATGAAATGTAGGGCCCTCTGCAATACAGAGTGCTCTAGAAATGTCATATGAATAATATTCATAGATGATTGGAATACAAGGAATTGTCACAGCCAAACCAAACAATCATATTCAAATGTTCCAGTTKCATTTAAATTAACTGCATTTTTGCAGTTTGGCATTATTTAAAGGTAAATATATCACCAAATATCATGTTCATATCAGTGTAAATCATAATTTTAAAAACAGGAAATGTAATGGTAAAATAACCATTATAAGCTGTTTAGAGTCTGTTGTGGTATATTTGTCATTTTCTAACATCAGTAGAACAAACCTTTAGCATTCAAAAATTATGATGCCAGTTGTCTGGCTTGAGCAGAGAAAAATCCCTATTCATGTTTTCTCAAACATAAACATTTACACCTGATTCTCTACTAATGGTATTCTTATCAAAATAGAATATTTCTTACAATATCCTCATTTTTTGAATTTAAGATTTTCATTTTAGTCTATATATACTCAAATATGAGGTGATTATCTTTCTATTCTATGTATACATCTACACCTGGACCACTGATAATTAAGATACAAATTTCTCTGTTTATAGAGAATTCAGAAGTTTGATTTAGTGGTACCTTTTACCAGGTAAACAGATGGGGGAAAATTCTAATATTGGTAAAATTTTTAAGGTTAAATAAATTTTCAGGTCTCTTATCTAAAGAGCATAGATTAAGGAAAGGGGAAGACTGTTTCATGATAAACAGAAGAGATATGGATAACTCATATTCATTTGAATCTATGCTTTTATTGTTTGGTCTCTGGATCAAGGAATATCTATTGTCATTCCAATAACTAAAGTATCTAGAATATAGGGGACATGGTAGTTACATCCAATTCATTTAACCCAAAGTCATAATATCATCAGTGACAAGACGATTCTCAGGRAATAGGGGCAACGAGGAGAAAATGTTAGCAGGTGTTTCTCCTCAATAACCCACTTCTTATTTACATGTTCATTGATCCTCAACACTGAAACAACATCACAGAACAGGAGAAAGAGAGGGAGGGGATGGATGAAAGGAGGAATGAAGCAAGGGAGGGAGGGTAAAAAGAAAAAGAAAAGAAGGAGGAGAACGAGGAGGAAGAGAATGACTACCATAAGGAGGGGGTAACATATGATCCTAATCTGAAGGAATCTGTGACCAAATAAGGAAATCACCCCTTGTGGTGAGCTGCATAGGACTGAAATAATTACTATTTATTATCCACAGCCTGACTAGAATTATTAATGGCACTAGCCTTATAAAAGGGACTCAATTAAAAAGATGTTGTATGGGGAGTAAAAGGCAGAAGTTCCTCTTGGATCTTGATGTCSTGAACAGACTGTGAAGGGGGATTCAATCAATTAGGGAAGTACAAAATGTGGGACACAGAGAGAGAGAACTGGAGAGAAGTGAAGGACTGACAATTACTAAATTTGGAATCAGAAGAATTTAATTTCTGACACAGTCCTAGTTTATCTATAAATTATATTGCATATCAAATAAAGACTTTGGACTAGATAATCTATGAAAGTAAGTCTTTAGCTATCAAACAGTAAAAAATAACAAGTTAAAATATTATTCATTCTAGTAAGTCTGCACTTTATGTAATCTTAACAGAAAAGCTTGAGACACTTGATACCCAAAAGACCAAAAATAAAACAAACACACTAGATAGGAAAGAAAAAGAAAAACGTAAAACTTCTTTTTGTTTCTTTGGCTAGCTCATTAAGCCAATGAACTATACATACTAGTGAAATGTGATATAGAAGCATGTGGTCGACCTACAACAAAGGGCATTCATTGTTCTTTTTGTTGCACAAAAGAGAAGACATATTTGATTGCTTTCTTCATATAGTTTCTTTCCTAATAAGCTCTCTAAATACATAAGCAAAATTTTGGGGCCTGAGGCAGTCTATGTTATGAAGAAAAATTAGTCAAATGAATAAATCTTTAAAAACTTACAGAAAATTTGACATCTTGATTTTAACAAAATTAGAGGTTACTGCGTTAAATTATAAATCCTTYACAATTGCAGCTTGTGAGGTAACTGCCACAATTCCAGCTTCAGAAAAATAAAGATATATGTCACTGGGACATTTGTTTTAAAACAGAAAAGAAGGAGGACCTATGAAAGTCAGTTCAAGCATGTGAACCATGAAAATATTGTCTTCTTTATAACAAAATTCTCACAGAGATATATTTTAAGAAAATTTAGCACAGAATGAAATGATGTCCCACATTTTAGTTATGACTTTTTTATAGTGGGGTACATCTAAGAGAAATATTGACCCATTTTACTAAAGTTAATGATTTCCTCATATACTGCTATGAGAAATCTGATGAAAAACCACTCTCAAGAAATTGCATGTGTGTATAGGTGTTGTGTCATACTAAATTGAAAGGTTATTTGCATTTTGGTCCACTTCAAGTTTAATTATTATAAACCTGAGGATGGAAGCAAAATTATGATTACACAAGTTCTAAGAACTGTAAAATTTCACTGACTTTATAATATTATAAAAAAATCCAAATATTTAATATTTTAACCAAGCAATTCATATAACATGAGGAAACAAAAAAGGAACCAAGAAAAAGTCACATTTGTAGCTAGAATGTGTAAGAGATAAAAAAAAAAAATGACCAGAGAAATGAAATTCCTGATTTCTTTTGTAACTTCTTCTAAAGAACACATGATTTTATTCTGAGTAATTGTAAGGTTGCAGTGCTCCAGTTTAGGACCATGTCAATCTGGGACAAAGTCCTATTATGGAAAAAAGAATTCATAAATATAAATATATGTAATTCCCAGACAATTCTTGAAAATGAYCATATTTATATTCAAATTACAGACACAATATTTTATGCAATCTTTTCACTCACTTTTTTGGGTTTGTTTTGCTTTCTTTTTTTTAGTATGCTCAATGTGACTTAAATTTATTTCTTCTGACTCACCCTAGCACTCTATTAAAAGCAAAACTGATTCTCTAAATCTTCATTCACACTAGGAGATAAAAATAGAAAAAGGATATTATGGAAGATTGGGAAAGCATTCTAAATTTGAAATCAGAAAAACATGGCTTATGACCCAGTGCTAGATTATCTGTAAATTATATTGCATATAAACTGAAGACTTTGGATTAGGTAATCTGTGAAGGCTTTAGTTTTCCAAGATTAAACAATGTAATAGTTTAAAATAATATCCATTTCAGTAAGTGTACATTTTTATAGTCTCAAGTACTTATTTATTTATTTATTTTATTTTTGATTCTTTTTTTTTATTATTAGTTGTTCAAAACATTACAAAGCTCTTGATATATCATATTTCATACATTTGATTCAAGCAGATTATGAACTCCCATTTTTACCCCATATTCATATTGCAGATTCACATCGGTTCCACATCCACTTTTTTACATACTGCCATACTAGTGTCTGTTGTATTCTGCTGCCCTTCCTATCCTCTACTATCCCCCCTCCCCTTCCCTCCCCTCCCCTCCCATCTTCTCTCTCTACCCCATCTACTGTAATTCATTTC